TAAAAATGCAAGTAGAAAAATAGGAACCACCTTTGGTGAGAAGGGAACAGCGTTTCGTACACCTTCGGCGTTGAGTCATGCTCGCCACATGACCACGGAGACGTCTTTGGACAGCACTGGCTCGTCAGCTTTGAAACGGAGATGAGCAGGGCCCCCTGGAGTCAGGAACGACCAGGACATATGTGCGAGGGGAACCTTTACCTTTATGTCCACGGCATTTCTTTGGTCCACTAATTAAGTCACTTTGTCAAAGAATGCAATAAGATTTGTTTGGCATGATCTGTTTTTGACAAACACATGTTGGTTTCTGGTTATAACTTTGTTTGCATGTCTGCAGATCTGTTGCTTGGTTATTTTTTCCAGGATCTTCCCAGCTATTGATGTCAGGCTAATAGGCCTGTAATTTCCTGGATCTGGTTCCACCATCACCCCCCACCCTTTATTTTTTGAAGATGGAAACCACATGAGCTCTTTTCCAGTCCTCAGGTAACTCTGTGGAACTTCAGGATCTTTGAAAGATTTGGGTCAGTGGTTCCAAGATCACATCTGCCAGCTGAGACTCTGTTGCTCTGACCTGCCCCAGAATGCAAATTTGTCATAGTCTGACGCCAAATTTTTGCTCAATGAAAGAAAATTGATTTACAAATAATATAATAATACAAAGCCTTGATTGGAGCAATTAATGGATTCCCCCACAAAATAATCACATTATTTACATCTGCACTGTTCAAAGTAATGTTTCTCTGGAAAATAGACCACAGGTTGTCTTCAAACTTACAACCCTTCAAAATTATGGTAGTGCTGAGTGACTTCCCATGGATCCTCGCATTTATGACAGATGCAATGCTGTCACGTGGTCAATATTTGGGTGCTTGGCATGTAATTATGACAGTTGCAGCATCCTGGGAATCATGATTGCCATTTGAAATCCTCCCAGCCAGGTTCCAACAAGCAAACCCAGTGGGGGTCACCACAATGTAAAAAAGAGGTTGAGACTCTAGAAAGAGGGCAGAGAAGAGCAACCAGGATGATGAGGGGACTGGAGGCTCAAACAGCATTAATATTTGAGGGGCTACCACAGAGAGGAGGAAGGGGGTCAAGCTATTCTCCAAAGCACCTGAAGGCCAGAGAAGGAACAATGGATGGAAACGAATCAAAGAGAGAAACAAACTCGAATTAAGGAGAAACTTCCTGACATGGAGAACAATTAATCAGTGGAACGACTTGCCACCAGAAGTTATGGGTGCTCCATCCCTGGAAGCTTTTAAGAAGAGACTGGGCAGCCATATGTATGGGATGGTTTCTTGAACAGGGGGTTAGACTAGAAGACCTCCAAGATCCCTTCCAATTCTGTTATTCTGGAGGATTTACTTAACAAGATTGTAAAATCGGGGATGACTCACTTTATGACCGCATTGCTTAGCAATGGACGTTGCAGTCCCCATTGTATTCATAGTGTGAGGACTGGTTTCAGCTGAATGAAAAGAGATCATGGAAATTTTTAAACACAATTTTTTACAGGCATGTTGATGAAAGATCAAAGACAATAAAGACAATACATATTCTTTTAAATGTATTGTTAACAAAGTCACAGAGCAGTTAAAGAAAGGGGCCTCGCATGGGACTGGCTCCGTTCTGGGAATGATAAATCCAGGGAAAAGAGATTTTTCTGCCTTGTGATGTCGGAGGCTGTTCAATCCAGAGTCACCAAGTGCAGCCAGGTTCTCTCCACTGAGTCAGAAATTTTGCAGAAGAATATCCACTTCCTCTGGTCGGTTTTCTTTTGGTTCCCAATGAGTTCAGTTTTCCCCAGATGCTTGTGGGGCAACCATCCAGCTGCCTCAGGCTTGTGCGTCACCCCGCAAAGAAATAGCTGCAGTTTAAAAATAAGCTACTGGTAGCTCTGTGACCCAAATATATAAATATATATATTGCATTATTTCCCAATCTTGGCAGTTTGAAGTTGTGTGCAGTTCAATTCCTACACCAAGCCAAGTCCCAAAACACCAGACAATTCTTGGAAGCTTGGTGTTGGGACAAATCTGCCATCAACAGGCACATAGAGATAAGCAACATTTACACACCATTCAAAAGATACAATCAGAAAGCCAAAAAGGAACAAAAAAGACCAAAGTAGCAATCGACACCCAGATAAGCAGAGATTAACACCAAGATTAACATTAGAACCACAATCAAGAAAGTAAACAATATCCTAATCAAGGAACTGCCAACTCAGACAAAGAAGATAATATTAAACAACAATCAAGGAACCTCCCAGGAGAAAACCATACTCCCACCAATGCTGGCAGGGCAAGTATATGGAAAGAGAACCAATCCCACTCCTTTCTAGCACTGATGATGTTAGCAGGTTTGGTAATGAAAGGTCTGCATGACAACAACCAAACTCAGAGACCACCAAAGACTCCAAAGTGGTCATCTTCCCCCTCTTCCCTCCCCCTCCTCCTCTTCTTCCTCCTCCTCCTTTCCACAAATCTCACTTCCTTCTAGCNGCCGCTGGTGGCGAAGAGCCGGAGGGCCTCGTTCCAGTGGGACTGCATCATGGCCTGGAACTGGCTGACCATCTCAGCCCGCTGAACCTCCAGGCGCCGGTACCTGGTCTTGCACTTCCGCAGGGCTTCCCTTTGCTTGGAAAACCTATGCTCCTAGTCCTCAGTGAGTCCTCCTTGGTCAGATCCAATTTGAACGGAGCTGTTTTGCCAACTCTTTTTCCTAGTGGCTGCTTTGTTGCAGCAACTGCTTCCTATTGGGGCCCTAAGGAGCCCGGCTGGGCTCAGGTGAGGAATGGCTGGGGGTGAGGGGTGAGTAGAGGCCGGTGAGGCACCCCTCGGCGTGAGTGACATCAATATAGCCACGCCCACCCAGTCAGATGACCACCTAGCCACGCCCACCCAGCCAGGAATTAGGCAGGCAACCAGATTAGTGGTCCGCAGGATTTAAAATTCTGATTTTAGTGGTCCCTGAGGTCCGAAAGGTTGGGGACCCCTGGTTTCAACATTAATAGCTGAACCTGTCCTGTGATTTGGGATGGTCATCCTACTTTTGAAGCAAATTATTGTGAAAAGACCAACTTGCTGCCTAGCACAATAGCTGAATTTTAACTTTCACTTAGCCTCAAGACTGCAAGTTTCAAAACCCAAAGGCCTTATTTATAATGTGATTTTCTCCTTTTTTTCTCCTGCCCCATCCTCTTCCCCAAAGCCTTCTGGTCTTTGGCATCCCTCCCCTTTGCAAGGTATGAACCCCTCCTCTGCCTCGGAGATGCGCCCCTATGAATGCAACCAGAAACACCAATGCTTCTCAGCCATGGAGCCGGGCCTATCTTTGACAGGAGACTGGGAAGCCCCTGAGGAGGAAGAGGAGAAGGAGGAAGAAGAAGACAGCAGTCAGTTCTTGAATGTGCACATGCGCCGTCCACGGACCTTGAGAGGATCCAGTCACACGTACGATTCCTTCCGAAGGCATAGTTGGGAGCCGGGGAAAGTATTGGAAGAAGACACAGATTTTGACCAGCGAAGGTAAACTATCGAAAAGTGGACTTCTCTATATGTTTTATGCTCTCTGAGATAATAACAGAGGTGGGATTAAGCAGGTTCTGACCAGTTCTGGAGAACCGGCAGCGGAAATTTTAAGTAGTTCGGGAGAACCGGCATCTATTCTCTGCCTCCCGAGTCCCAGCTGATCAGGAGGAAATGGGGATTTGCAGTATCCTTCTCCTGCCATGCCCACAGAACAGGGAGTAAAAAACGTTGAATCCCACCATTGAGTAACAGGTAAACAACATGGCCATTCTAGAGATCAGGGTGCCTCCAGACAGAATAGAATAGGAATGGAATAGGAATGGAATAGGAATGGAATAGGAATGGAATAGGATTCAAAATATAATAAAATTAGAATTAGAATTAATAGAATGGAATAGAATAAGAAAATTCAGAATAGAATAGAATAAAATAGAATTGGAACTGGGATTCAGAATAGAATAGAATAGTAATTAGAATGAATAGAATAGAATAAGAAAATTCAGAATAGAATAGAATTGTAATTAGAATGAATAGAATAGAATAAGAAAATTCAGAATAGAATAGAATTGGAACAGGAACTTGAATTGGAGTGGAATGGGATTGGAATGAAATGGGATGGGAATGGGATTGAGAATAGAATAGAATTAAAATTAATAGAATGGAATAGAATAAGAAAATTCAGAATGGAATAGAATTGGAACTGGAACTGGAATTGGAATGGAATGGGATTCAGAATAGAATTAGAATAGAATAGAATAGAATAGAATAGAATAGAATAGAATAGAATAGAATAGAATGAGAAAATTCAGAATAGAATAGAATAGTTGTGGAAGGAGACCGTGGAGGTCTTCTAGTCCACCTCCTTGCTTAGGCAGGAAACCCTACAATACTTCAAACAAATGGATATCCAACATCCTCTTAAAAACTTCCAGTGATGGAGCACCCACAACCTCTGGAGGCAACTTTTGTTCCACCTGTTAATTATTCCCACTGTCAGGAAGTTTCTCCTTAGTTCTAAGTTGCTTCTCTCCTTGATTAGTTTCCACCCACTGCTTCTTGTCCTGCCTTCAGGTGCTTTGGAGACTATCTTGACTCCCTCTTCTTTGTGGCTGACCCTGAGATATTTCACTGCCTAGGAAAAAAAATACTCTATACTAGTGTTTGGTTACCTTTCCCCCCACACACATTATTGCCCTGTATGTTGCACCCCTTTCCATGTGTTGGGACAACAGTTCCCAGGTTTCCCAGCTAGCATGGCCAAAGACTGAGCATTTTGGATGGGAAGGATGTGGGAAGGCCTGTTTTAATTCTGGCAGTCATTGTTTGCTGGAGGGGGAAAGCAAGGCTTTGCGGATGAGTCAGAATTATCATGTCCTGTGCCCTCTTCTGCTTGCTTTTGTTCCATCTTTATCTCTGTGTTTCAGCTCTCCCTGATTTATGGCGGTTGGACTCCATTTTGGCTTTTGCCTTGCAAATAATGCAGCAGTTTGGGAGGGCTGTTTGCTAGGATATACTAAAGAGCGGGCTCCATCCGGGATCTGCTTCCTGCTCGTGCCCTTCCTTTGTAAACAAAATCTGACTCAATTGGCAGAGGATGGGGGAAGCTAAATTTATGAGAAGGTGGTGCTAGGATTGACCCCTGGTAAAAAAAACCAGCCAGATGGGATTCTGGGTCAGAGGATGAGCTCATTCAGGAAAAAGTGAATGAGAGGAGGTTGAATACATTATTCCATATTTCTGTGTTTGTTCATGGGAATGTGAAAAGGGGATGAAACTCAGCTTTCAGCTAAAGAACAGGAAAAAAACAACCCTCACATGTCCTTATTAACTCGGACAATCTCCTCTTTTGATGAACTTGCCCAGGAATGTTCAGGAATGGCAGCCAAAAAAGCCAATGCAATCCTAAATTGCATTAACACAGGGATACAATCAACATCAAGGGAGGTACTAATACCAGTCTAAAAAGTCTTAGTAAGGCCACACCTAGAGTACCGCATCCAGTTTTGGTTGCCACACTATAAAAAAGAGGTTGAGACTCTAGAAAGAGTGCAGAGAAGAGCAACCAGGATGATAAGGGGACTGAAGGCTAACATATATGAAGAATGGTTACAGGAACTGGGCCTGGCTNAATCCATATGGAATATGGATATTTGGAAGGAAAAGACCTTTCCAGCTGACAGTGCTGGAGGAGGGAAGGGGGAAAAAAAGACAGAAAATGGGGGCGGGGGGGAAGGCATGGTATTTTCTGTCGCTGGGAAGCAAGCATTAATGGCGCAAACTGCAGAGCCATATAGATCAAAATTCAATCATCCAGGCCAATAGCACCTCAAAAGATAAAATCATGACAACTGAACCAAAGCTTTATTAAAACTCAAACATTTTGTTACTCATCCGAGTAACATCTTCAGTCAAAGTGAAAATTTGGATAGTCAGAGTCTCGTTGGAATATCTGGTTATATACCCACGTTTTTGACTGCAGAAGTTCTTAGATGAGTAACAAAAACGTCTCAGTTTTAATAAATTTTGGTCCAGCTGCCATGATTTAAACTTTGGAGATATTTTTGGCCTGGATGATTGAATCTTCATTTACATGTTGCTTTTCATTTTGGGGACAAACAGTCTGTACGGCAAGAATTGGTTCTCTCCAACGACCGTCTATCCAAATTTTCATGTTGACTGAAGAAGTGACTTAGATGAGTAACAAAACAATTCAATTTTAATAACCTTTGGCCATGATTTAACAACCTTTTTAGAAACATTTTCTGGAAAACTGCTGGGATTGGATCCAGCATAACTACCTGGGTTTTTTTTTTTGGTTAAATATTTTTTATTGTTTTATATCACACATTCCAGTTCTATGTTGAACAATGTGTTCCCTAGGAGTCCAAGGTGTTAACATACAAACATCATCATAGTCATCATAAGCGTTTATATATAAAAGAAGAAACAGACATTACTAGCTTTTGTTAGCCACTGCTAACATCGCCAAAGGGCATAAACCATTAAAGAGATACATGTCTTCATACACTATTAATCAATTTGGCCATTACGCACGTGATAGGCCCATCCATCTGGCTCCCACCTGTAATTAGTTTTGTTGTTTTTACATCAGGGATGTTAATCGATGCTCCTATTCCTTCCTCCCCTAGTGCGTATCATGCGCACAATTGTCAAATTAATTAATAGTGTATAAAGGGGGGTATCTCTTTAATGGCTTTTGCACTCTGAGGATGTTAGCAGTGGCTAACAAAAGCTAGTGAGCAATATATTTTAAAGTTCCGGAGATCGCAATGTCTGTTTCTTCTTATATAATATACAATAATATACAAACAACTCTGCGATAATATCAAACATTATTACAACGTATACTATCTTCCATTATCGATTACACAACCATCAAAATATTCACTCATCTGTTTTTCTTTCTCATGTAATCCACAATTCATATGAATCCACTCATCTAACCTCAATATTTGTCATTGTAACTGCCTGGTTTTTAACCAGACTGCTGAACCCTGGAATCAAGATTGATGGTTTGATATGGAGAGAGAAAAGGTTGTGTAAAAAAAAAACCCAAAACCCCTGAGAATTGTTTCTGTTCAGATAGCAGAGTTGGAAGACGTGGCTTTGAGGAAGTGGCTCAGTGCAAAGTGGGACTTGAAAATAGAAAACTAGACAGAGGAGGGACAATCATGAGAAGTTCCTTAATCGGTTTTCTTTGGCACCGTGTCACGGGTGCATATATTTTAAAGAAAATGGCTTGGGTTAAATACATAGAGCAGTGTTCACACATTGCATTGAGTGCTAATGCAATTTATTTGTGGCTTAGTGTATTGTCCAAATCTAACCAATTAGGGACCCAGGTTTATGGCTTAATTTCAGCAGCCAGCCGGTTGGGGATTATTCAGTGAGTGATGGCTAAACAAGCCATGGTTTGATGTATTGTATGAACACAACATTGCCCAACATGTCAGGTGGAAATAGTCATGGCTCAAATCGTTGGGTAGCATGATTATGGTTATGGCTTTTTATGTTGCGCAGATATTGGCAATTCAGAAAAGCCAGGTCCATGAAAACTCTGAATGTGTTTATTGTGAATATAGCTAGATATCACAATTCCTTTTTCCAATGAACAGTTGTACCTGTTACAGCATCCCCAGGATGGAATATAGAATAGGAATCGACAGAGACAAATCACTATACCCGCAGACGAAACAATAATTAGAAAGGTACTTGAATGTGCAGAAATGGGCAAAATGACCATGGAATTAAAAGAAAGAGAAGAATCGGATTTCTATAAAATGTGGAATAGAATTTATAAGTGGCTAGAAAACAGGAGCCACAACAGGAAATAGAAGTCTTTTTGTGTTTCTTTTTCCTAAACTAGTATTGAATAAAAATTAACCACAGTTTACTAATTACTATCAAACTTAAAGTATTGACCACAATGTAAATAATAATGGCGATGTGAACAATTAATAATATTACAAGTGTTAGTACAACTGTCATTGCAGCATTACAGAACTTAAAACCGATAGGAAGGCAATGTTGAATGGAGAACTACAAAGATGCTAAACATGAATGACGATACAGAAGGCTGTATAACTATTTTATATTGTTATGTTTGCCTTATTTTTTCTTTTTTCTTGTGTAGTGTTCCCCCCCCCCATTTTTAAAGGGATAAATGTTTAATAAAAACTATTTAAAAAAAAGAAATAATAGACATAGACATAAACCTCGGAGGTCTTCTAGTCCAGCCCCCTGCTCAGGCAGGAGACCCTACACCATTTATTAACAGATTAACAGAGTTGGAAGGGACCTTGTAGGTCATCTAGACCAACCCCTGTCCAAGCAGACCTTACACCATTAGCAGATTAACAGGTGGCACGCAGAACCCTTTGCCCCAGCTCACCTCCACCGCGCATGTGAGCACACCTCCCCCAGCCAACTGGTTTTCAGGGCACTGCTGCTCATGCGTGGGGGTGGGTCGCATGCAG